CGTTGCAACAATACACTCAAAAGGTAGAGGTTACTCACATTATATACTGTTTGTTTGTAATTATATACTTGACTTGACTTGATGCCTAGGTGCTCCACACTCCTCCCATGCTTTGGGATTTGGTACCCCCAGAGGCCGGGTTTCAGATTTGGTAATTCAATGAGATTGGGTTTGCTGCCATTTGATATTCATATTCTGTGGTGGAAGGGCGATCATTGACAGTTTGCAAACGTCCAGGGATGCAGACGGAGAGTGAAGCTATGGCTATACGCGATGACACCATCATCAACCCAGAGGCCAAAGGGACGTAGCACAGAAACAACAGAAATCAGAGAATGGGGGCAACTGCACCCCCTGGAAATAGAAGGCAAGTCTTGATATTCCAAGAAGGGTCCAGGGTTGTGTACAAGAGTTCCAAGATGTACAATGATTGAACAGCAATGGGACAAAAGCCGGAAAGCTGGTACCCTGGTACACAGTTGAACCTAGTTCACCTAAGCATTTGGTGCTTCACTGAAAGAGGCAAAATCCTCCAAGATACTGGAAGGGACCTTGGAATCATTGGAATTGTTGTCATGGCTTTTAGATACCTAGGCCCTCGAAGTCCACCAACTCTCGCCCTCTGCAGACTTATTCTTTGAAGGGAGCAGAGCCCCGATACAATGGGTGGGATAGAATACACTACAGACTATCGCAGTATCTAAAGTGCTTTGTGAATTTGTGAAGTGTAAGCCAGCTGCCTGCCGTGAGGATCTGGAGAATAGTCTGCAAGTCGAAATCTCAGGGCACTGTTTCTGGCTGCATTTTTGCTGCATTGGGATGTGTCAGGCTTTCCGTTGCAACAAACACTTCCTGCATTTGCCATGTAGGGGTTATCTCGAACTTGGTTGGATCGAAAAAGCTCTCTCCTGCAATCTATGCTTTTTACCCCTTCGTGTAAAATGACCGAAGTCATTCAACCAACGGCGCAGTTGTTTTTTTTGTGTCACACGGGTCGCACTGGATTCCAAGGACATGAACGCATTGGAGAGAGCGTCCGCCTGGCTGTGTTTCCTGATGTCATGTTGCACGATGAGCGAAGCCATGATGATTGCTGGTTCCATTGTACTTTTGTTGAAGCAGAGGCAAACATTGTGCTTGTGCATTTTGTGCGAACTGTTGGCATTCTTCAACACTGGTGAGGCGGCGCATGAAAGCTAAGAAAGGCTGGAGAAAGCGCACAACCTGTGGTTCTTTTCCAAGCCAAGTAACATAGCAGCCGAGAGCTCGCTCAGCAAACCACCAGCTTGTGCAGAGTAGAGAATCTTCGTGAAATTCCGCCCAAAAAAGGTGCGTCGGGAAGCGGAGTTGTCCAGTGTTATCCGCGTCCTGCCTGCGGAGAGGTAAGGCTTTGGAGCCGGAGCATAGCAATCTCTTCGTGGGGAACCTTCACAAGGACAGGCTTTAGATGCTCCTTTGGCGCATTGGTTTATTGGGAGGGTAGAAAACGACGGCCCAAGGTTTACAGGTTTTCTCCTGAGGAGTGGGAACATTGAAGAGTTGATTTTGAGACAGACAATTCAGGTGAGCAGTGAGCGATTCCCATTTCGGATGGACATGAGGGAACTGACAAGACCATACACAAGCACCATAGAGGCATCATAAGCTATGAGACTCCTTCAAGAACTCCAACTTCAACATACTGGTAACAATAATACTACTAGCAGTAACAAGAAGCTACTAGGGGCTCCTGGCATCGCTACTAGGAGCAAGGACGCTACTAGGGGCTCCTGGTAGCTACTAGTAACAAAGAAGCTAGAAAGGTCTCGCACACTGCTTGTCATAGGTTTGGCTCACCATCTCCCATGTGTCACCGGTCACCCGCTGACTGGTTTGGGGCCTTGTCCTTTGCAGGATGCCACGGAGTATGAGCTTTGTAAGGCCTTTTCACCCTACGGAGTGGTTACCGCATGCCGCAGCTTGGACAAAGGCTTGGAATGAATGGCTTAAGCTGTGGTTTTGTGACCGTGACATATCTAATGTCAAGTTTCCGAAAAATCTAGAAACCAAATCATCAGTGCGAGCGCTTCTTCAAGGAAGCTTCCGCCGCCGCCATTAGGGCGGCGGGGGTAGCTTCCTTGAAGAAGCGTGAGCTATCCTGCATGCTAAGTAGTAGTTTACTTGTAGGTACTAGCTACCTCAGTTCCTTACTTAATTAAGTAGGTGCCTACTTAATTAAGTAGGGAGGGGGGGAGCGGGCTAAGAAAAAAGGTAACAGATCCTCCTAGCAATTTTTCCTAAAGAATCAGAGAGCTCGGGTGTTCCAGAAATATGCCATTCTTTAGTAGATTAAGCTGGTTGATGAGGTTCACTTGCTGTTTTTTAAGGTGGCAGTCGAGTGTGATTCTTTAGAGGTACACTTTCTGCAATTGTTATTGTAAGCCACACGCTCGCATCCTTCAGCCTGGAGATCAACGCCAATGGCATCCAATTCTTCAGGGGTGTCCAGGCTTCCAAGGAGGTATATGCACAGTTCTCAACGTGTTCTGACCTTTTAAATAGAGTGCCCAGTATGTGCTGGCAGAGGGCTGATTCTTTAAGCTACAATGTTGGTATGGGCCATCTGGATTCAGGATCCTTTAAGGTGGCATCTGGCAGTGGCACCGGTGGATTCCTAAAGAATCAGACAGCCCTGGCCAGTGGCCGAATTCCAAGGGGGATGGTAACAGTCTTTTTCTTTCAGACTTTGCCATCCAAGGAGTCTTTGCTGGCAATGGTCGCACGCTGCGATCTCAGAAAATCGATTTTGACTCAGAAGAGGAGTTGAAGGACATTGTTTCCTCATGCCCGAAGTAAGAGCACCATGCTCTGTGTGGCGTGCAGCTTTTTCTTGCAAACCTGCAGATGCGCTCTGGTGAAGATGGAGAATGTCGACCAGGCCGGGCCGGGACAGCGCTTACACCGAGCAGGTTGACCTGTCGCCCTTTGAAGTCTCAGTTGATGAAAAGGAGGCAATGTAGTGTGGCACCATTTATATAGTTCTTGAGCTAAGCCATCCCTTCGAAATAGGCAATGCACTGCTGATGTTGACGACCAAAGTACCAGCTGCGCTTTTTTCAGCTGGTGAGTTGGAGATGGCTCAACAAAAAAGAACCATGAAGGTGTTGCTCACTTGAGGGGCAGGACGGTACCCTATTTTGTAGTACGTCCGTTTTGCACTCCCCCTGTGCCGCCTTGTGCCTGTCACGCCAGGCTGCGCAAGTGGTGATGGCTTGGCGGTCAAGTGAATGGACTGCCCGAGCCTCTACGTGTGTCCTCGTCGGACGTCCATCACGCTTTGACATGTCGAAAGGGGACGACGCTCCTAAATGCGAATGAGGACGTCCAAAAGATGCCACTACCGTATTGAGGTTCTCTTCCTTGTCTTTTGTTAGCTTTGCAGTGCTTTGCAGTTGCTACGGGATATCTCGCGCAGCCATGTGTTGGGTTTTATGTCCTGGTTTGAGGCCCCTGTGGTTCAGTTTGTTCCAGTTCTGGCTTTCAGATGCTTTCGCCTCTTTAAACTGAGCCATTCCGCAAAATTCAAGGATTCCAGGCCCTGCGGTTTTCCATCCCTTTGGACGATTCTGAGGTGAAGTTCGCCGAAGCAGACATGGGCTCGAAGAAAGCTGCAGGTGCAGCAACGATACAATAAGCTATATACGTAGTACATTTAAACATGTATATATATATATACTTTGCATATATAGAATGATTGGATACCCGATAATTGATAATTGATTTATAACAAGTGCACCTCTCTGCTCCAAGATGCTCAAGACCAGACGCGATGAGATTCACGCAAAAAGATCAAGCCGATCAGGTCCCAAGGCGAACAAAAGTTTCGAGCTCAGCAGACCGGTTTGCCTTTTGTATCTAGTAGCTTCTTGTTACAAGTTGCAATGGCCTCCACCCTAGTAGCTTCTTGTTACGAAGCTTGAAAGACATACTAATAGCTTTTTTGTTAGTAGCGGTTCAGACGATTGGTTTCAAAGGTCGAGAGTTGAAAAAGATCCCGTGCGACAACCTGTACGTCAAGGCTGGCTTGGCGGAACGGCGCAACGAGGACATATCTCTTGGGATTTGTGGAACATTTTTCGGAGTGTTTTAGAAGCACGTCACCCCGAACCGTCAGAGGTCCTTCGTCATGTCGACCGAACCGTCGCGACCGAACGTCAGGGCCTTCCGCCTGGGATCACAGAAGCGGAACTTCGATCGACGTTTTCAAAGGCTGGCAAGGCACAGGGCGGCAGCACAGTGCTCACATTAGGTCCAAAGGTGCCACCAGAAGCGCATAGAGCATCACTTGGCCAAATGAGAGACGAACTCAAGTTTCCTTGCGGAACTTGCCAGGACTTGTTTGATTCAGGGAAGGATGTGTATTCATATGTATTCTATTGCTCATTGGCAGGTTTTGGAGATGAAGATCATGCGGCATTCAGATCATAAGGAGGTGGAGAAACAACCGGCTGGATTAGAGCTGGGACTTGGAATAGGAAGAGATGATTATAGAAGAAAGGTGACTAAGCTGACTCATATTCTGAGTCGTTCCTTGTGATATGAAGAGGCTTAGCTAAGATATGACTCCTTAGAAGCTACTAGTAACAAGGGCATTACTACTAGTAACAAGGACATGACGACTAGTAGCTAGAAGCTACTAGTAATGCAGCTTCTAGCTACTAGTAGTAATGCCCTTGTTCCTAGTCTCCTTTTGGGCGTACCAACCCTTTTCAGAGCGCAATCATGAGCCTTGCGAGCCTTGCACGACTCCCCGTTCGCGAACGTAACCGAAATGCTCCATGCTGGGAGTGACTAGAGAGGGTTCAAGTAACAACCAGTGACAACCAGTGACAACCAGTGACAACTGAAAAGACTTGACACATGTTCTAAAGATTCCTAAAGTATTGTTTTGTTCAAGAAATGGTGCAAGTACTTGGAAGATCTTGGAAGTGCTAGAAGACGTTGAACAGAACCAAAGAAGAGTGATTTCTTGGATGACTGCGAATGACTAGAGGTTGTATCACTGGCTCTCATGATAGTTGTAGAGCAAATGAACACTACGACTCAGAAGTTCATTTAGGTCTTACCTGCGCGATGGATGTGGCAGAGAAGACTATCAAGAATGTTCCCTTGAAGGAGTTGGTGGAGGATCCCCAGATTCGAAGGCAGCTCTGTGGTGGCCAGCTTCTTTTGCGGATTCGTTTGGACGCACAGGAGGTCGCATCTTTGTCTGAGCCAGATCCGTTGTTTATTCTGGTGCCACGCTTGGCTTACTTGCCCTTCCTCTTTCACGATGTGTTGGAGCACTTCAAGAAGTCCATTTCGCCCATGGGCCAGCCTTACGAGCTGTGGTTTGACTACAATGACATCGCTCTGAAGTGGCACTTTCCCGTGGGTGTCTTGTGCGACGTGCTGGTGGGCCTGGAGGTGCCGGTGCCATGGGATCTGACCTTCCACTATCGCGGCAATTCCAAAAACCATGGATGCCTGCTTCCATTTAGTGGAATGGCCGACCTGCAGCGATCGGTCATGAATGCATTCAAGCAGGCGATTTGCTTGGAAACGGGTTCCACCACACTCTTCATGAGATTGGAGAAGAAGGAGCAGATGAATCTCTGGAATGCAATCCTTCGAAGTGACCTGGACACCTTCTCCCAAGTGGTACAAAAGCTGAGGTGCACAAACCTGTCAGAGTGCAAGAGTATGGCGATCAGATTACACTTGGCTGCCCCTTGGGATGATGTGTTGCTGCACAAGGCCCCAGCGTTGCAGGAGAATGGAACTGCCAGCACCGTTCGTGATTTTCTTCGATTGACCATGCCACCACTCTTGGAGGGTGGTGATGAAGTTGAGATTCTTCTGCAGGGATTGCGAGTTCCGCTGGAGACACCCTTATTTTGGCTGGCTCTTCATGCAAGTTATTTGGATCACTTTGTACACTTGGTTGCACGCATCCCCAACCCGACAACAATCGAAAGCCTGGACTGAGGACTGAGGACTCCAAAAAGCACAGACCCCATCCTCGAGTCCATGCGACATCTCTGCGCGGCGTAGCGCAGACGAAAAAGAGATGGCCGTCGTGGCGCAGTCGTGGCGCCGGTCGTGCCAGTGGTGGTGGCGCAGTCGTGGCGCCGGTCGTCCCAGACGTGATGCCAGGATTGTGCTGCCTTGATCCGGATGGGCTCCTTGGAGGCCTGGAAAAGGCTCCGTGAGGCCTCCAGTGAGAAGATCAAGAAGATTTAAGAAGGCTCCGTTTCTTTTTTCGGGAAGAATCCAGGAGGTAAATCTACATGAATCTACACTCAATCTGAAAGCTCAACACTCAATCGACACATTTTCATTGTGAGGATGCAAAGAATGCCATTGACCTCTTGCATGGGACCTCCCCGACCGCCGTCAACTTAGAAGTCGCCTCGCAATCCTTCGTTCTGAAAGCAGCCCGCTTTGTGTTGCTGAGGTTCCGCCGCTCTCATTGTCGTACTATGGAAAGGACAAATAGAGAATTACTTGGGTCTTGAAGGAAATGGACAAAGAATGCCAAACAGACATGCTGGAGGAAGGAGAGTTTTGAATCCAGGACGCGCGCAACAGGGACAACCTGTATGTGAAGGGCCTGCCATTAGAATTCACGAAGGAGACCGAAGCAGAACAAGGATGATGCTTGCTTTGTCCCCCTTTTCATCCCTTTTCCATCAATTGCTGACACGAACTGACTCTAGTACCATGCAAATGTTTGGAAATAAGGACACTCCACAACGCAACTCCCCAGCAGAAGACTGCCCCAGACTTCTAGTTCTGTTTGTCCCTCCATCCATGTGCTGTCATATCGATGGCTCGCTTCACCGTGAAGAGGACCAGTTAGAGGAGATCTTCAAAACTTTTGGTGTTGTGAGGAGATGCAGGACATGGAAGAGCAGCTATGTCAGACATTTAGGGCAGCTGAACTACCTCAAGAATGTCCTTTCAGATTTTGCCATGTTGGAGGCCATCGCTAGTAGGTTGCAGGCCATCGCTTCTAGGGTGGAGGCCATCGCTTCTAGGGTGGAGGCCATCGCTATCAGGTCGGAGGCCATCGCTAGTATATACATCATAGTGCGAGATTCCCATAGATTCCCCAAACAGCCACAGGGCCCATTGTCACTATGGCCGGCATTGTTGATGGTCCGAATGGCCAGCTGGACGCAGGATTCTGATGCCTCCTCCGAAAGCGCAGGACGCTGCAGCTTTGGTTCAGGCGGTTACTGGCGTGCACGTGTGCAGGGTGAACACCAGAGGAAGATTCTTAGACTCATGTTCAATATAGTTTCGGGAGAATGAATGGAGACTTGGCTGTCGCCCAGATGGCCAGCGTGGAGCAAGCAGCGCGTGCAATGAAGGTGTGAACCTTTCGTGCAAAGCTTGAAGGGGCTTTGCTGGAAATGCAATCTTAGACAGTCCTCATGAGTCCTCCTGAAGATCACGAAGCAACTATGGCAATGGATGCACAGTTGAAACTAAACAAACCTTGTCAAGAAGTAGTCATGCGTACGATAGTTGCATGTTCCTCAAGCTTGGTCGACCATGGGTGTGGTCTTTGGAGGCCTTATTAGGACGATGAGAGAGGTACACTTCAACATGGCATGATATTGCCTGCATTCCTACTCGTAACAAGAAGCTACTAATTAGTAATGTCAGTAGTGTCTCTAATTTATGTCAATTTCTATGCCTTCATTGTATCCCTACCGCGATCGCCGGAGGCCCTTGATGGCCGCCCTCCACCGGGGTCGCATGAGATGCAGATTCATTTTGCTGAGAAGGTCCCGAAACCCGTGGGCTGCCGTGGGCCCTGGGAAGCCGAGATGCAGGCAACTTTTCAGAGCAGAATGTGGGACCATGATGAAACAGGTCCGGAAGCTTTCTTTTGGTGGAGCTTGGAGGGGCCATTTGCTCAAACGACAGGGTCTCCAGAAAAGCAGTTTTGGCAAAGCTCTAACTTCTGCACCGCCTTAATGAGACTCCAGTCAATCGTCCTAGTAGCGTGTTTTTGCATGAATTTGCAGCGCGATTCAGGAGGTTCACCATGCAGAGAGACTCAGCAATAACATCTACGTGAAAGGAGCCGGACAATTCCTGTAGGATGGGCTCAATGGTTGACATTGATTGATTGGGTGGAGGCCATCGCTCTTAGGTTGGACGCCATTGCCACAGTAGTAAATAGGTTGGAGGCCATCGCCAGTCGGTTGGAGGCCATCGCTAGCAGGTTGGAGGCCATCGCTAGAAGGTTGGAGGCCATTGCTGGTAGGTCGGAGGCCATCGCTAGTAGGTTGGAGGCCATCGCAAGTAGGTTTGGCTAATATTGATTGATTGGGTGTCACTCTGTTGATGCGACCGTTTGTGGACGAGCATTTTGCTCACGCAGGAAAGCTGTTGTGCCGTTTATGTGTACCAAAGACGACCAACTAGGTCGCACTTTCGTGATCTCCGGTTTTGACCAACCGCATGTGCATGACAGGAACGCTTTGGCAGCACAACGACTGTAGATTCTTGCACACAACAACCTTCACTTATATTATAGTACTTAGGTTTAACTCGCCAAGGCAACGAATGTTGCTTCCACCAATTGGCTTGAACAGCGATCCTTTTCTACCCCTTGCGATAAGGACAATTGTACAGATAAGCCCATGCTAAGACGACCACTCGAAGAAAGGACCCCTATGTAATGGACATGCAACCGCTATAACCGTGACCAAGGCTGACGTATGGCTGATATAACTAGAGCATATTAGAGCTGAACAAGCAGTGTAAGCCATTTGTTGAATGGTATAAATTTCACCTTGTCAGCCATGAGTTTGTCCGTCAGCGAGAAGGTAGACGTGCCCGCAGGGAATCCATTCTCATAAACATCGGGAACAGTATGGAACAGTACCTTTTTGGAATTTGTGGTGTTGGCACGACAACGATTACCTATTGTTTTTTTCATTTTTTTTCAGGTAGAGACCGGCTCTTTTTCATGTCCTGCTGCTTTTGTCCTGCAGGACTCCCCCTTGGCACTCCCGACTCTCAACTGCGCGCTGTCCGATTCCAAGTCTTTGCAGTGTCACATGCAGACCTCAGTGACTGGTGACACTAAGGTCTTCTCAAAGTTCGGCAAGGTTGTCAGACTGAAGGCCTGGCATGTTGGAGACATCGCGAGAAAAGATCCATCCACAGATCAAACCTTCGGAGAAAGATCACGACGCCGTGATTCCCCAACCATTCTGACGATCCATGATACCCAATTGGATGGACCGCGCTTGCTGCAAATCAGACTCTTGGGTTTACAGTGCAGGTCATGGAACCGACTGGGGAGAATTTGGACTGTGCTGCCCTGGTGCAGATGCTCCTTGGATGAAAAGAACCAGAGTGTCATTTCTAATTTATAATATATGGATAGTATCAAGTGTTTGAAGTCTTCTTTCTCATGACAGGAAGGTCAAGGACTGTGGAAAGGCTTCCTCAACTTAGGTCCACCACAACAGAGGCTCAATCAGCTGTGGAGGCAAGTCTTCATGTTTGGCTCTTTCTCTGTGGCATTTCTCATCGACCTTGCCAAAGTGAAGTTGAAGACGCGCAGGCGCTCAATGGTAGCAGCCTTGCATCAATTGCCCTGCCTCAAATGAAAGTCCGATATGCCGGAAAGGACTGAGAGTTGGCCATGCAACGTGTTGGCAGCTTCGTGATCGATGCTATCCATTGAAGCTCATGGAGTTAACAGTGGTCCTGTGGTATGGTATATCTCCTTGATAGTGTCAGTAGAAGTTTCATGTAAACTGTACTTGCGGGATACTTGATTTCACAATTGTTTGTTATTTTTGCTCAGGACAAATAGCGGAACCCAACTTGGACTTTTACTGGTGAATGTGACAGCAAAAGCCTTTTCCCAACTTTGTCAGGATCAAAGACCGGGGTGCAACCTGTACATCACAGGCTGCGGAAGCTGGTGGTTCGAAGCAAACAATCGGCGGTGATGTTTTGAAATCATTGTTTGCTAATGGTAACCAAGTTGTACTTTTAGACAATTTTCTACAGTATTGACCGGGACCATGCCACATTTGCTAGGCCTGCCCTTGACAACGAAAGAAAGTGAGCTTAGAGCATCTTGGTGTTTGCATCTGACGTGTCTCCAGACTCGTCGTGAAGCAACCATTCTCGTTGTCCATATTTTCGACTGTTAGCGATGTACATCTTCGAGTAACAGCAAGAAAAGCAAGACAAACTTGAAAGCTTGCTCAACTGTTGGATGCTTGCTTGCGCGAAAGCCAAACCGTAACTCCATAACTGGCAAGAGCTTTGCAGAGGCCTCCCTTAAACAGGCTAGTGACCTTGGTTGAAATCTGACAATCAACAATCCGATTTTGTAAGAATCCAACATGATCTCTTGTACCATGGCAGCTCGAATTAATTCTACCACCCAAGTCGACCCACTTTGAATCTTATGGATTCAAAGTGGGTTGGTGAGTTGGACAATTCCACACCTGCCATGTACTCGTCAAATGAACTTCATAGTTTGTTCCACCATACAAACAAAGCATGTGAATTAAAAAACAAGCAACGTTGCTAAGAACGCTCTAAAGAATGCTGCATATGGACCATGGAATGTGTTTGAACAAGGAGTTATATATACCAGGTGGAAAGCATTGATTCAAATCATTATTACTTTGTGACATAGGCATCAGTCATTTGCAACTCTCAAGCTGGTTGGCTTGCATTGGATTGAGATGTCCCTCAGCTTGTTGTACCGGGGCTAACTTTGTTATTGACGCTTAGACCTGACTTGCACTTCCGTGTCTGACCAAATGATCAGATTCTTTGGCTCACTTGTTTGCGACCTTCTGGCCTTCGGCCGCCGAACCAAGGCATGCTTTATGCAGTGCGGTCAGGTCATCCGAATGCGACTCCTATCGCAGCATGGAAGGAGTGGTCAGGGTTGGGAAGATTCTTTCAGTCTTCAACTCAGTGATCTGGGACAGGATTTTAGCCATAGTTGCAATGTCTTTAAGTAGCGCCCTTGGAGATTGCCGGCTTTGGCAAGTCTGATCTTGCGACCATGCTGGGGACCATTTCTATCAATTTCTACGTCAACATAGGGGCATTTGGCAAATTGCCACTTGAACTTGAGATGTCAGAACAAAAACATTTGACTTGCGCGATTCCTCGATTCAGTGAGATACACCCAAATCTCACCTGAGCAGGAGTGAAGCCCATGCATTGGTTGAGATGAACAGTGTGGAAGAGGCAAATTGGCCTTCTTGGATCGACAGGGTGAAGCGAATGGAATCCCACAAGATCCAGAAGGAATGCATGAAAGGATGATGAAAGATACAAATAATTTGGATTCCACACGATTTGCCCAAAGAGTTCCAAAGATTTCAAAAGCATGCTGAGATTGTTCTTGCAGGCCTCGCATGCCATCGAGAAGCTCAATGGCACAATCCTTGAAGGCGAAGATCTTTGCGCATGTTTCATCTTTTGTGCTGCGCTCTTTTTTTCCGAACATGAATCGCAATCCACAGCTTCATATAGTCAACAACAACGGAGTTTTATGTAGGAATCATGGGCTCCTGACTCGCACGTGATTCACCCTCGGTCTGTCATGCTGCCAATAGCGTTGCCTTGAATCCAAGGCCAGTTTTGCCCAAGTTTGGTCGTAAGGTGCCGCACTTGGTCCAGCCGGTTTCATTCTATATAGGCTGGAGGCCATTGCTCTTAGGAGCAAGGACGCTACGTTCGGGGCTCCTGGCATCGCTACTAGTAACAAGAAAGCTCTTAGGTTGGAGGTCATTGCTAGTAGGTTGGTCGTCCTCGCCGGCGCGTGCCGGTCGGTCGGTCCCGAGGTTCGCCACCAACCCCGGGCGCGAGGAGGTCGAGCTTGGGTGAGCGCTCGTTCTCGCGAACGGAGAGGACAGATGTTGGGATGTGCGGTGCATCGATGCCCTTTGTAGCGATGCCAGGAGCCCCTAGTAGCGTCCTTGCTCCTAGTAGCGATGCCCTTTGCTCCGTTCGTAGCGTTGGGAGAGGCCTCCCTTTCAGATTTCAGGTTGGGGTGCCCCGTTGATCCGCTCCTGCAGGAGCTGAATGGATGTATTTGGATCACGAAGAGCCGACAGGGAAGCAGTGAGCAAAGACGTTCCTGGCGAATGCTGTGGCTGAACCAGGCTTACAAATTCCTGATCAGATTCAGCAAAGTGATTCGTAAGCACAACAACACATGCATCCTGTGGTTGATTCTGTGGTTGATTGCCGTCCCCGGCCGGGGAGCCGAGCTACAGTGAGCGCTAGGCCCTCACTCTCCTTGTGTGGCACACCGTGGGGCCTGATAAACGACGCAACCAGAAAGCCGGTATTTCATTCTATTAGGCCTCCATCGCTAGTAGGTTGGAGGCCATGCCTATTAGGTTGGAGGGCCATTGCTATTAGTGTGCTGAGCTGCCTTGGAAATGGGGCTGCTCACGAGAGTTTGTGAAAGATCACATGGACGGTCATGTGGACGAACTACTGGCCTCCAAGTTTACCAAGATGTGGGACTAGAGGTGGTGACGGTTTGTGCGTCAATCGTGAACATTTCATTGTTTGTGAAGTTGATGACATACTTGCTACACGGTGAATTTCTTGGTTGCGCCGATTGTGATATAGTAAACTCTGTCTCCACAGATCGTGGAATCAGGCGATCTCCCAAATGGAGAGAGAGCAGATATCATTTTCAACTTTTTGTGGCACGAACACCCGAGATTTCGACCTTTGAAAGCGATGGAGTCAAATGGACAGACTGATCAATCGAAGTGTGTGCTCATGAGTCTCCCAAGTATTTACTTGGCCAGGAATTGTTGGGAATCCGTGGAATTTGGAGATCGAAAGAATGAGCTTGGAATTGATCTTTGTGTACTCCTTCTTTCATTTGACTTGTCCTTTTGGATGTGTGGATTGTCGCAGCACTTCTCTCATGCAGGAAACAATCCGATGTGTTTTTTTTCATACTGACATGCATTGGTGCTCTCAGATGTAACCCTGTAGCTTGCCACCTCTACCTTTGCTCTGTATTTTAGCAGTGGACCATAAAATGACTTGATACTCATCCATGTATTGCGTTTTCAGTTACATTCTAGGTGCCCAAGCGGTGAATATGTCGGATGGTGCCAGCGAGTCAGAAGCAGATCCTGAAGACCAAGATGAGGATCAGGATCATTTGGAATCTGCTGGGGCTGTTCCACGTTCGGATGCTGAGCATTTGCGAGACCTCAACAGCCTAGGCATTACGGCAGAGGACGAGTGGGCTTCCGAAGCATTCGATGGAAGTGAGAGGAGCGAGGAACCAGAAGATCAGAGAGGCAGTTCACAGGTATTGCCCGGAGGTCCTTTTTGGTTTCGACAAAGGTTGGCAGGTCTTGAGACATTGCAGGATTCAGAATGTTCCATGCACGGCCTCATCCGTGCGTGTAACTGCCACGTCCAAATCGCCGATGACCTTTCCTTTGTGGATGTCTTTGCAACAACTTCTCGAATAGCCGAGAAAGCACGGCGCATCTTTGGCTTATCTCCAAGTGAGTTCAATGAAACGACAGCTTGGCCGGATGGCGATGCCATGCCTGAAGATTGCGTGGAGCAAGAGAACCCAGAAAGTATCCAAGTGCGGTGGACCACTCATCCATCACGTCAGACCTTTGTCCACAGAACAGTCAGGCCTTCATTTATTAGCACTCCTCTGATCCAGTCTTTCTACCCAAGTCTTCACTCTTGGTCTTTCCAGCATGAGCTTGACCCTGTTCAGTCTGCAGCCATTGCATGTGTTGAGCACCGCGAATCTGTGCTGCTTTGCGCACCTACATCTGCGGGCAAGACTGTAGTTGCGACCTATGCAGTGGCCATGGCTTTGCATGAAACAAAACGGGCTATTTACACTACTCCCATCAAAGCGCTGTCGAATCAAAAGTTTTTGGAGCTCGGGAAGTCTTTTGGCGCGCAGTACATTGGCGTCATGACTGGTGACACAGTTATTGCCAGCGATGCTCCTATCGTAGTGATGACGCTGGAGATTCTTCAAAGCATGCTCTACAAGCAGGCACGGGATCCAAATCTTTTGGATGACTTTGCTTTCGTTGTCGTTGACGAAGCTCATTTCCTCGGCGATGTAGAGAGAGGATACGCATGGGAGGAAGTCCTCGTTCTTTTGCCTCTTCATGTCAAACTTGTGCTGTTGTCGGCGACCGTGCCAAATGCCGGTACAGTTGCAGAATGGTGTTCGCGAGTTCGAACTGAGCCAGTGCATGTGCTCACGAGCGAACAGCGGCCTGCCTCTTTGTCAAATTGGCATCTTTGGTAGACCTCCACCCTGGTAATTGAATGTCCAGGCCTATGAACATACAGACACTCCCAAACCTGCATGTTAATGATTATATTATACAGTACTGTACTACCCTCCCCAAACCCAATGTCCTTTTGCAGGATTAGCTGATTAGATATTTCCCCCGATAGCGAAGCTATGGGGTTCTTACTTCAAATAGCACCGAGCTGCCTGTGCGCGCTTTCGAGACAGGTTGCCGGTGCTGTTGAGCTGGCTGTGCATGTGGTGGAGACAGGGTGCCCTGCCGGTGCTGGGTGCTGGCTGTGCGCGTGGTGGAGACAGGGTGCCGGTGCTGGGTGCTGGCTGTGCGTGTGGCGGAGACAGGGTGCCGGTGCTGGGTGCTGGGTGCCGGTGCTGGTGCTGGTGCTGTGAGCTGGCGATGTAGACAGGGTGCTGGCTGTGCACGTGGTGGACAGGGGGTGCTGTGAGCTGGTGCGCGTGGTGGAGACAGGGTGCCGGGTGCCGGCGCTGGTGGTGTTGTGAGCTTGCGTGGTGAAGACAGGTGCCTGGTGCCGGTGCTAGTGCTGGTGGTGTGAGCTGGCTGTGCACGTGGTGGAGGCAGACAGGGCCGGCTGGCCGGGTGCCGGTGCTGGTGCTGGTGCTTGAGCTGGCTGTGCGCGTGGTGGAGACAGGGTGCCGGGTGCCGGTGCCGGTGCCAGTGCTGGCTGTGCGCGTGGTGAAGACAGGGTGCCGGTGCTGGGTGCCAGCACCCAGACAGGCCAACCGGTGCCGGATGCCGGTGCCGGGTGCTGGTGCTGGTGTGTGAGCTGAGCTGGCTGTGCGCTGGTGGAGACAGGGTGCCGGTGCCGGTGCTGGGTGCTAGCTGTGCGCGCTTGGAGACAGGGTGCCGGTGCCGGTGAGTCAGGGTGCCGCTACTTCCAGGGAAGGTGAGAGAATCAGCAATCAGAACATCATGGTATATCTAGTATATCCAGTGTTTTCTCGAGATTCTTCTGTTCTTACGCGTGACCTTTGGGTCCTTACAAGTTGTGTAGCTTGCATATGTGAGGGGGTCTATTTTTGGATCTTGTTTTGTTCCCCAGATAGCGACAGCTATGTGGTTCTTACTTCAAATGACAATGAGCTGGCCGTGCGCGCTTTCCGGTGCTCATTCCGGTGCCGGGTGCTGGTGCTGGTGCTGGGTGCTGTGGGCTGGCTGTGCGCGTGGTGGAAACAGGGTGCCGGTGCTGGGCGCCGTTGCTCTGGGTGCTGGCTGTGCGCGTGGAGAGAGGGTGGCGGGTGCTGGGTAGTGGGTGCTGGTGCTAGGTGCTGGGTACCGGTGCTGGGCGCTGGTGCTGGGTGCCGTGAGCTGGCGTGCCGGTGCTCGGTGCTGGTGCCCGCTTCTGACAGTGAAGGGTGACAAACCGCCGCTTGTAGCAGTGAAGGGTGACCAACCGCCGCTTCTGACAGTGAAGTGCCAGCAGTCATGGGCCGCATGAACTTATGCACGCAACATCATACGGTGTTGTCCCTTGAGCGCTGTTTTAGCGCTGTGGGGCATTTACACTCTTCAGGTTCTGTTTTGGCCGACAGCTGTGTCAAGGGCTGTACTGTTTGCGCGCATACTTTTGTACGCATAAAGTTCTTTGCGCAACGTCAGGCTCTCAACCGACCATTGTTTCGGCGTGTGGTGGATACTGCTTGGCCTTGGGCGAGTGAAGCCTACGGTCTTTGCCGTTTGTGCGCATACTTTTGCGCGCGTACACTTATACGCGCAAGATCACACGGCCTTATCGTTCTACAGATCGTTGCTTCAAGCGTGCTACAAAATCAATAGTGGCGCTGGATACTGCTTGGCCTTGGGCCAATGACACTTACGGGCTTTGCTGTTTGCGCGTGTACTTTTGTGCGCATAAACTCCATGGGGTTCTGACGGCAAATAAGAATGGGCTGGCTGCGGGCGCTTTCGAAAGGGTGTCGGTGCTGGTGCTGGTGTTGTGGTCCTGGGTGCTGGTTCTGTGGGCTGGCTGAGCGCGGGTGCTGGTGCCGCTGCCGGTGTTGTCAGCTGGCAAAGCGCCGTAAGCTGACTGTGCAGGCTGCATACATTCTTGTTCCAGCCAGTCGCATGTCAACAGGTCGTGGGATTCTGCCTAGCTATCTGGGTCTTTGCTGGTGTAATTGATACGCAGTCAGCCCACGGACATGTGATAACCGCATTTCACAGAGTATGGTTTCACACGGAGACCATGAGTGGATGATGCCCTGTAGATCACTGTAGTCTATTGTTCCAGAAAGGTTTTTCCTCAGATAGCTAGAGCTGTTGCGGTTCTTACCTGAAGAGGTGCCTGGAGCTTGGGTGCTGGTGCCACTGCAGAGCGCTGCTGCCAAATGTCATGTCATGCCGTGTGTGCTTTGAAATTTTGGTGCTGGTGCCCGGATGTATGGCTCCGTGCGCTTTGGAGCCTAGATGATGGCGCAGGGTGCCGTGTGCGCTTTGGAGGCTGGGTGCCGGCGCCGCTGTTGCTATCTGGGGTCTATGCTGGCGTAGTTTCTCAAAGGTCACCGTCATCAACATCAACATCCTCATCGTCATCATCGCCATCATCGCAATCACTCTTTCACTACGCCCTCCAGGTGCCAAAGGTTGCTAAGAGTTTTTGCCGCAACCTCTCCACTGCCTCTCACCCGAGCAAGTCGCATGCGCCTAAACGCCAACTGCAGCTGCAAGGTTAACGCATTTTGTACCGTTGATTCCAGCTTCCCATACTTACTGTACATCCGACAAACCCCAGTGAGCTTTCATCCACATGCTTAATATAACTTATCCCAAGGGGATAACCTGTTCGGGATTCGGCTTTCCGGATTCAGCCTATGTATTATATATACTGCCTCTTCCGGAATTCGGCTTTTGGCTTTTGCAGATGAGTAGCTTCTGGGAGCCCTCAGGACTGGCAATTGTGTAGTATGAATGTAGTGCGGGGAAACTGCTTCTGGGAGCTGTGGCCTCGGAACTGCAACTTTGTACTACGATTGTGGTCCGGAAGTCCGGAAATAGTTCGAAGAGCTGTGGCCTCAAGAGTGGCAACTTTGTAGTACGAATGTAGTTCGAGAAACGGTTGCCAGACAACTGAAAGCTTTCTAGTACGAACGTAGTGCAGGCAGCAGCTTCTGGGAGCTCGAGCTCGGAACTAGGAACTTTGTGAACCAAGTAGAACAAGGTTTGGGGCGGTGTTACGTTATTCTATACCTAGTCTGTGGCACACCCTGCGGTGAATTTTCGTCTGTGATGTCACTGTGCCATGCAGTATTGCGCGGCCACTGTGGAAAGTTTGTTTCTGCGGTGGAAAGGTTGTTTCTGTGGCTATGTGTCATTGGGAATCGAAAAACATGCGCGCGTTACCGCAGCGTGTCACTGTGGAGTGGGGTGATTAAGCTGTGTCCACGACTTGGCGCTTCGTTGTTGTTGTATTTAGTTTGTGGTGCACTGCGTGGCGAGATTATGTCTGTGATGTCCCTGTGCCGCCCTGTGACATGTCGTTTTGCGCGGCCTCGGCGGCGTGTCGCTCGGGGGATGGTTGGCGGGGTCCACACCTTGCGGAGAAGTTTCGTCTGCAGTGTCGCTGCACCATGCAGTTTTTCGCAGCCTCGGTGGAAAGTTTCTTTGCGTGGCTCCATGCCAGTGAGGGAGAAATGAAAAGCACGCGTGCGCAGTCGCAGCATGTCGCTGGGGAGCGGGAGGACTGCGCGGTGTCCGCGAGGCTTGGTGTGACATTTTTTGTATCGAATCTGTGGCGTACCGTATGTTGCAAGAGTGTGCCACACTGTTTTAGCAATGTCAGGCAAGAGTGCCTTACAAAGAGTGTCAGGCAAGAGTGTCCTACAAGTGTGTTTTACAAGAGGTTCCCACAAGGGTATCCCGCAACGCTGTCCTGCAAGAGTGTCCCTGCAAGAGAGGCCCCACAGGTATATCTTGAGATTATCTCATGTATAAACACCTATATATATATATATATTTTTTTTTTTGAATTGGAATTAGCGCCTTTGCTGTCATCATCAAGATCGACAATCATCACCGTGGCCGTCACCATCAACATCTTCCAGCATCACCATCATCATCATCGTCATGATCATCATCATCATCAGCATCATCATCATCTCGTTACCTTGTGTCATCTCCCACTCTGCTTTCGGGCCACCCTGTCGCGATGCGACAAGGTAAAAAGATGCGTGATCCACACACACACACGTTGATTGAAAACAAAAACATATTGAGCAACAACCAAATTTTGCTTTGTATGCATGTGTCTAACCTCCCGGGCCATTCGTCGTCTAGTTCCAGGTTTTGATTTGCCTGCTTTCGGAACTGCAAGCACCTGATCCGTAACCTCTTCACCCCTTTTCAAGTACTGTGGGAGTTGCAGAGAAGAGCGGCCTGTTTGGAGAATCATCCACGTCAAGAAATCTTGTTGAAGACACGCAGACCTCTCAGAAGAAGACTCAAAACCAGGTGGTACGTAGAAAGGATGACTTCTAAAATGACATGCTGCCCAAAGTTGCTTTAAACATCTTCAAACATGCGATTTTGTTGAGACATTCTTGCTGTGCACGAATCACACGCCCAAAGAGAATCGATTCACACACCAGCATGCCTCACTAGGTTTCCTTTTTCCTTCTCGACAGTCGTGTTGAACTGAGGTTCCACTGTCGCATGACCTCTTCCGATGCGGGCCTCCGGATTTCTTTGGAAGGAGGCGTTCATTCTTCAGTGTCCTGAGCCCGCACAAGCGTTTCAACGCGTTCAACTTACGTGAAGCAGTTCGACAGAGGGGCATCATTCTTGAAAGTCAAGCTACTTGGCGCTGCCCACAAGACTTGATTCCTCACTTTGTTGGACGTCGAGGCCAGAATCTCAAACAACTCATGGCAGGCTTAGCAGCAGCTGTTCACATCTTGGATGGAGGGGGCATTGAGGTAAGAGCTTCAGACAGCAGGGCTGAGGAAGAAGCAAAATCGCGAATCACGGCGTGGCTTGTGGAACGGGGGTTGCCTGAGGCCATGGCAAGGCCACCGAACACTTCTGGCGATCCATTGTCCCTGCGAGTTGAGGATTTAGAGCGCTTGCTGTCATTGCTGTGGTACCGAGACCAGCTTCCAACCATTGGCTTTTGCTTCGACAAACGCATGTGCGAGCGAGTAGCCCTGTTGTTGGCTGGGGCAAAGCGAATGGATTTTTCAAGCAACTTCAAGAAGAACAAGATCCGCGAGCGCCTGCGAGCCGGCCTTGCCCGTCTTGATGAAAGAGACAAGCAGCTTGCACAGGTAAGGCATTCATGCGACTTGTTGGTGCGTGGCATTGGTGTCCACCATGGCGGCATGCTGGGATCTTAGTAGACATCCACAGATCATGTGAATGAAGCGCTGTAACCAACAGATGGCAGGATTGAGATGGCTGTACTTGATCCATCGTATGTTCACCCAATTAAGCCCATTCTGAGGCATCCTAGTTGCAGATGAACCAAACCTGCTTACTTTTGTGTTTCTTCTTGTTCAACGCGCATTTGTGTATCTTTGGCTTGGTCATGTTCGGACTCTGGCAGACCAAACAGGAATGCTGAACTGTTTCAATCTCGGCCTGGGATCACGGTTCTGAGGCTCCCGCTTCTGCGCGAAATGGTGGAACTACTGTTTGCAGATGGGCTTCTTCCTGTGATTTTTGCCACTGAGACCTTTGCCATTGGCTTGAACATGCCTGCCAAGTCCGTGATCTTCACCGATGTTGTGAAGTTCGATGGGCGCAGCCGCCGAGTACTGAACAGTGGGGAGTTTAGACAAATGTCTGGCCGAGCCGGGCGTCGTGGATTGGACCAGAGAGGTCATGTGTATGTCATGCTCCACAACACCATGATCTTGAAGCAAACTGCTACAACAGTGCTTGAACGCTTGTACATTGAAGAGCCTTCGGGGGTAGAGAGTCGCTATCGTGTCTGCTGGTCATCTTTGCTTCACTTGATTTCTGCTGGCCCAGCACATCTCTTCACTATGCTTTACAGAAGCTTCCAAAGATTCACGAACCCAAATGCAGCCATCGCCCTACAGCAAGAGGCAACTTGGATGGTGAAGGTGCTGCAAGAACTTGACTTTGTGGACAAGTCATGCGCAATTTTGCCAAAAGGAACTTTGGCCTGCCACTTGTTCGTTCCAGAAGATGCTTTGCTTGTAACAAATGTTCTTATTGCTCTACGTGGCTTTGAGAATCTCTCTGCTGCACAGGCCTTTGCGATCTGTGCTGCTTTTGTGGCTGAGGGGTCAGATAACAAGCGCTTGAAGATATCGGATTTGGAAGTTCGCAAAGGCCTTGAAACGTGCCGCAATGTGGCACGGAGCTTGGCAGCAAAGCTTCATTCACACAACCTTCCATGCTGCAGCAAGTGCGGACTCTTGAGGTCGAGCTCTCGGTGTGACGGCTCGGAGATGATTAAGGTCCGGGTGAACCCTCAGCTCTGCGAAACGGCCTTGCAGTGGGCCTCAGGGCAAGACTTTACCTCGGCAGTGCTCAGCAGTGGTGTCGCAGTGGGCGGTGAAGGCATTGTAACTCGAGCGCTGCGACGGCTGGATGAGCTGATGCGGGAGATCACCTTTGTCTTAAGACACGACTTGGGCTCACCCCAGGCAGCACAGCGCATTCAAGATGCTCGGCTTTTGGCCAGACGAGGTGTACTGGCTGCGCCTTCTGCTTACCTGGGTGAGGCAGAAGATCGAGTTGCTGAAGAGATCGAAGCAGAGCCACCATGGCCCAACCAAACTTGGCCGCCAGGATATGAGGGCCACTTGGATCCATTGGACATAGGCTTCAGCCAGGCAAATTGCAGTGCCAATTTTCAGTGCACCCCGGTGCGTGGAGGCCCCGGTGACATTTTGGGCTTGGCAAAGGGGCTGAGTGATGGAAGCATCTTTCCATCACAAGTCAGACCACTAAGCATCTATTGGTTTCGGCATCGCTACTATTCCCTGGACAATCGGCGACTAGCAGCTTTCAGGCTTTGGCGTCTTTTCGCCGAAGATGCAAAGGTGCCGGTGAAAGTCCTCAATCGCAGCCAAGCTTTGTCTGAGCATTGGCTCCGAAAGTTTTCGACTGGGTTCACCAGAGGCCGAAAGATTCGAATCAGAGGAAGCGATCTTTTTGTCGGGGCCACTCGTGAACAATGCACCTTTGGCAATAACCTGTGGGCTTGAGATGTCGCGATGGCTTGAAGCATTTGGATGGATCCGATGGATCCCAATGGATTTCAGGCTGATCAAAACAATGTGTGGAGTGATATTCTTGTCAGTTGATTGGTCCTAGTTCTGGTACTGACCTTGCTCTTGCCCTCAGAACTTTTTGCGCAAGTTGGCTACTGATGGCTTAGCCATTAAACATCAAAACATACTTTTGGTCACGAGTTGAGCAAATCGAAAGAATCAAACCCTATTCCGAAAGCTGAGACTTTATTGACTTGAGTTTTCCGCCCTGCGTCAGCCCTGCCAGCTACAGGCTTGGTGTCTTGATTCGGCTCCAGCCTTCTGTACATGTCATGCCATGTCCGAGGCTTACATGGTAATTGGGACTTGTTGTCACAATGTGCACTCAGGAACATGTCCTCTTTGTTCCAATAGAGTTTTGGAACCTTCATGATGCAAAACATGTCAATGTATCCAGAGCGCTGAATGACTCTAAGCACATCCAGAGGGCGCAGTTTGTTGCTTGCAGGGGTGAGACTTCCATGTGGACATGACTTGGGACCAATTACCAATCATTTCAGTCGGTCCCGGTGAATTTGCTGTGCATTGCGCATCCAGCCAAGTGGACCATGCACTGAAGGCACACGGTAGCGCCTCCTGTCGACCAATATGCGTTTGAAGTCTGCAGACATAGAAAGCGAGAACACTTTTCCTTACATGTCCTTGCTCCTAGTAGCGATGTCCTTTGCTCCCAGTAGCTTTATTGTTCCTAGTAGTAAGGCCAGGAGCCCCTAGTAGCGTTCTTGCTCCTAGTAGCGATGCCAGGAGCCCCTAGTAGCGTCCTAGTGCTTCCCAACAATTGCATACGTAGTGTAGAAGTGCACTCAAGACCTTGTTCGGCCCGTCAGACTGCGCTGGGATGGCTGGCAAGGTCCTGCCCAAAAAGGTGCGGGAACAACTTGCAGGCCAAGCGGGTGCTGCAAGTGCTTTGTCAAAGATCAACTCCATCGAGTTTGATGTTTTGTTTGCCCTCAGGAGGTTTGGGTATTGTTTGGTGGGTGACAAGCCAAATTTCGCTATACATTCACCCGTGCTTGATCGTTGCATAGCTAGAAACCCAAAAGGAGAGTCTTGCTTGACAGAAGTGTGTTGTTTGATAGCCTTGTTGGTTTCGTGTTACGCCGTCCTCTACCAACGGATCCGCTTTCAGATGTTCCAAACCAGATGTCCCAATTCACGGCTATCCGCCGCAGCTCATGAGCGGGAGCAAAGCAAGGCAGGAGCAGAAGGTGGGGATCATAAGTTGGAGACAAGCAGAGTACAAACATGTGATTTGTGTATGCATGAGCTTGCTAAAGGCAGTCGAATGGTATTCAATTGGAGAGAGAAAGTGTCAAGGTCAAGTGCACAGTCCATTTATATGATTTGGAGATTTGGATGCACCAAGGGCACTTCTTTGGACTGTATTGGTCAGAGGTTAACACTAACTAACAGTGGGCTTGAGGAGATGGCCAGTTTCCAGCCAATTGGCAGGTAAGTTCGAGCCGACTGCCAAGCCTGCAGCCTAGGGTCCAGTTGAACAGCTGAGATGGTCGTTGGCACATTTTTTTCAGCCTGTCGCAGCCCAACGTAAAAAGAAGATGAAAGAAGTGAAGTGGTTGAAGGACCCCCGAAGAGCTGAAGTTCTATCCGCTTCTCTAGAGGTTTGTCACCCAGGCCAGTACTATCAAATCAGGAAGGCTCATATTTGGGGCTTCACTGGGCTCACCACTTGAAGCTTGCAGGCAAAGAGACTTGGGGATCTCAAGTGGCCAATAATCTAATGTTCTGAAGGTTGATCTCTGAGGCTCTACTGCATCCCTCGAAACGCTGAGCGATGCATGGAGATTGAGGCCACCCGTGATATTGAAATCGACCCAGATGCAAGTTCAGTTTTTCCTATCTAGAATATTCTAGAATTATATAGATGTAAGATGATGGTTTTGTGATGTTTTGTCACGGTCTCACAAAAACCATCCAATTCCTTCTTGTCAGGGTCATCACCTGAACCACAGACTGAACAGACTGAATCACAAACTGTTTTGCTCGCATTGGCCCGTTGACCAGATGTTTGACAGCCAGACATGAAGGCATGTTCGACATTCAACGACTGCGACGGCTGTGGCAGGTTCGTCAGAGCGGGAAGCACATCCACTGCGAACCTGTGGGACCCATCTTCAGCGTGGGACGCTGAGAAGGATGACGGACACGAGGAAACCTTGAGAGGCAGACGCCGACGCCGTGGGCGTCCGCCGATGCCATTGTCTCTGTGTTTTTTTGGAACTGCAGGCTTCTCATAGTGTCTGTCAGTCTTTGTAGACATCCCAACAACATCATTCAGCAAGACAAGAGGTTCTAGTATGGAGGATGGCATGTTAATGCTTTTTGGAACCCAAAAGCTGCCGGTCTTCAACAACCAGCTTGAGAACAGGCTCATAAATAAACCCTTTCACAGCACAACGGATGAGACTAGACGCCTTTCTTCCTAGGATGGCTGCAAGTACATCAGTGTCTGCCAGTCACTTGTGACGCCTGATGAATTCTATTGCGCTGGAATCTTAGCTGTTTTGGGCAGGTTCGAAGGTTCCCCTATTGTTGGGTAAGCCATTGCTATGGATGCTATGGCAGCAACCATTTGTGGCTGAAAAGTGATATCACCATCTATAGTCCGGATGCACCGCACTGTATATGTTTGCGGGTGAGCTGTGAAAAGCTGACACCGATCTTTGAAAGGAGTGTCACTTCTATGATTCTATTTACTGGTGACATTGTCTTCATTGCCTACAGCACCTATCAACATCATTCAGTTGGTAGCCGTCACTCTGTCACGTATAGGTACCCTACGACGCTAGTCACGTGCTTTTGCTGGACCTGGAGCAGGACAAAGTGGTGCAGGCAACAGCCATGTTTGTGCGAGTCAGATGAGCAGTGGCCAAAACATCCCAGGTAACAATTTGAAGAGAGGTCAATGTATTATGCCTTCGCGAAAGATCCGCGAAAAATTGTGCGAACTTTTCATTGGCGAAAGTTCCGTCCGCAAAAGCTTGCGAAAGTGCTTTTGCACAGAATGCAGCGCGCGAAAGCCAAAACGCAAGCCGCGAAAGTGTTGCGAAAGGAACTTGCGAAAGCAGAGCCCATTAGAACAAATGCTCGATAGGTTTTGAGCAATGCTCAGATGTCAAGCAGCCGGCATAGTGGGCACTGTTTCTAGCTGAAGAGGAAGAGGTGTATTCTGCTTGAGGAAAGCAAGCCAAGGCTCAAAGACCAAGGCCACCTGGCCTTTGTGACCTTCCTTTCTTCCCGCATCCGAAATTGCATCATAGGTGGGCCTTCCAGTGGGGGAAGAGAAGGTGACCAAGTATGCCACAGCCGTTTGGGCCTCGATACAGTGTCACACTCTCGCTTGGGCTTTGAGCCTAGTTACTGTAGTTTCCTTGGCCGAGGCCGCCTCCCACAATTGGCAAGGGCGAATTTATGCCGCCCCTTTCCTGGCCACTCGAGCAACGCGGCTCAGTGTGACCAGGGGCTCGAGGGCTGAGGGACTGAAGCGGAGTGTCACAACTCGAGCAGCGGTTTTGGTGCATTTTGCTGCTCAGTTTTGCATTTCCTCCAGGTCCTTGAGATTGATCCTCGTTTAGGCCTGGGCAGCAGCTCCCACACTTCTAGAAAGGTGATCAAAGCTTATACGTGAAACTGTTATTGTACAATAGATGAAATACAAGCCATTTGCATCTATTTACTTTAATCACAGCCGAAAAGATCTTAATTTGATCAGATTCACTTGGACTGCATTTTCACATTCCACGCCAGAGAGTCCGGACCAGTGCCTCCAGGCAGTGTCCGTGAAGTCGGAGGAAGAGTTGGAAGATCCGACAAGGTGCGACGGAGTTGTCGACAAGGTGGCTCGACACAGGTCGACACAGGTGTCATAGATTAGAGTAAATCTCAACAATGCCTTGAAGGCTTGGTTTTACCTCGGAGTTGTTCATGAAATACACTATTTGCATGGCATGTGTCAGTGTTTGTGCTTGCACGGACTGGTGTGTAATATGTGCAATGCTCGAGTTTTTGCATAATGGAATGCAAAACTCCCCAGTACTAACGGAAACGATTGACCAGCCTTGAAAGTTCCAACTTTGGCTTCCCAAAAAGCTTTGCCCAGGCTGACTGGTGGGCTTCAGTGGCATCTCCCATTGCCAATCCCTCAATTGTAAGTCGCGGATCCATCGAAAGTACCGTAGCAGCCAAGAATGTGCTAAGCAACGGCCAGGGATGCTGAGGGGACATGAATGAAAGGAGGAAAGAAAGACAAAAAGAGAGAAAGAAATGGCTGAAGAAGAACATAAAACACCCCAAATAGCATAGATAAGAGATGATAAGAGAGATTGTTTCCTTTGGTTTGCACCACTTAGTTTGCTGCCCTCACTTTCGACACCCAAGGGACCGGAAGGAGACTTTGGTAGACATGGGTGTCTTTCCTGCGAATGACAGGTAGCATGGTAGAATGGTGTCCTTCCCATTCTGTTGATCCTTTCTTTCGGGATGTTTTTTTTGGCGTGCATGTCGAGTTCAACATGTGTTGAACGTGCTTTTTGAGACCTTGAAGATCTATGCGATCCCATGGGATGCACGGAATGCGCGGTGGCCCATCAGTAGTTGGATCTGGAATCTGGAAGGCACAAAGCGTAGAGTCTCAGACAGTTGGCCTCAAGATCCCAATTGAGTTGTTCATTTTCATCTCATGTTCCAACGTCTCTTTTCAGCTGATTTCTTTTGGGATTCGCATTGCGACAGGTCTTGGAGATCGACCCCATCAAGGGAACCTCCAAGAAGGCCTCGTTGCGGGAGCAGCGTTGCGGGAGCGTGGTCTCGTTGCACTCGATCAGGGTCGTGCCACCGAGGTTGGTCCAGATCTTGGAGGCGTCGAAGGTGGGCTAGCGCTGCTTGCGCTGCTTGCGCTGCTTGCGCTGGCACTGCCTGCTTGGAGGGTCGTGCACACCCCTTTCTGAGCCGTGACTGTTTGCGCACGGAGGGCCAAGTAAGGTACATAAGGGGGTCCAAGAAACGTCAGGAGCCCCTACCTAGTAGCTTCTTGTTCCAAGAAACGTCTCAAGCACTTCTTAATGGCGACAGGAAAATACAGCTGTGCATCGGTGGCTGCTAATGGATGCATTTACGCGCCACCCTACAATGCGAGCAAGGCCTGGAAGAGTGTATTTCCCATCAACGAGTTACACCACAGCTCAACCTATTTCGTACGGACGAACAGCAGATCTGATGACTCAATAGGCCAGGTGTTTTCCGCCAATGTTTCGTTCCCCATTGACACGTTTGATTGGTTCTTTGGGCCTGCAGATTCTGAAAATTTCTGAGAAGGGAGAAGTCAGCAGTGGACTCAGAGAAGATTGCTGTTGGTGTTTGCATGTGTTTGCTGAAGGGAAAACTCCGATAAGAGTGGAGGAAATTCGGAGCACCCCACTTTGCAAGGTAACGAACGGATTCAAACCACAACAAGGTCCCAAAGAAGTCGCAGTGGCGCTCGCTGATGATTTCAATCCTAAAATACGCATTCTTTGAAGATCATATCTACAAAACCATTCTATTACGTTTCTGGAGTAAGCCCTTCATCACAAAACTCTGTTGTTCTAACAGTTCACTTGGCGTACCCATTGGCTTGCCGCTTCCGCCATGGCCTAAGGCTTGATAGGCCCTGACTTGGGCAATGCAACAGAAGCGCCCAGGAAGTATTGCTGTGTGGCAGCCCAGGCGGCCACGAGCTGCCACTCGTGTGGCCGTGTTAGCGGAAGGGCGCGGAAAGAGCTTAAGACGCAACAACTGTGGCATGTCCGCTGGACCAAGGTGTGTGCCAAGGCACAAATCGGCTCCTTTATGTGGTACCCTGAGCAAGCACGAGCAATTGAAACAGACACGCAATCTAGTCAGCGAGCTCCAGCCTGTCATTGAATGTGAGAGGGTGAAAGTATGCGAAAGTGACTGCGTAAATGCCCATCCATGAAGTGCCCTTCTCCAGCCAAGCCATTGAATTTGCCGAGCCAACCAGTGATGTCCTGCGGTCCATGAATCTAGGCTCCTCCGCTCTATGCCAACAGAGTGCTGGAGATCAATCCTGGTGGCGTTCCCGCTGGCGAGATTGGACGCATTTGGGCGTTACTGAGAATTGAATACCCCATTCATTCTAGTTAAACTTAATTACTACTAGCTTCTTGTTACTACTAGTAAGGCACTTGTTACTAGTAGCGATGCACTTGTTCCTAGTAGCTTATATACCCCATCAGGATCCCCAATCATCCCCACATGCTTCTGGAGTCCATACAACCTGCAGTGGGAGGAGCGTAATATGTCAGCGCCAGGTCAGTCGTTTGATCGGCCCTGGCATCGGCAACGGAGAGGTGCCTTTGCAGTGAGACTAACGGGTCGAAGCGCCCCATGGGCCACTCGTGCTCCAGGCCCTCTACGCTTGTGCAAGCAACGGCCAAGATGCACGGATCTACTGTGCACCTTTGGAGGCGAGGTGGGTGAAACAAGCGGAGTTTGCTGGAACACTGACGGCCGCACCAAATGCTGGCCTGATATGAACAGATCTCAAGCTAGATGAGAAGAACTAGAGTCGGGTGGAGCTTTTTCTTTACTATTTTTCATAGGACATGGGGTCATCCACCGATTTTCCTGAGCAACATTTTCCCCCTTTCAGGCCCTTCAGGCCCTTCAGGCCATGACATGCCATGACGTGCCATGACCTGCTCTCGGGACTTGGCATTTCGACCGATCCACTGCTCCTTTTCGACCGATCCTTGCTCGGTTCGTAGCGATGCTAGGCACACAGAGTACTGCTCATCGATCCATTCGATCATGAGGCGATACGACCCGACAAAAACCTGTGGGCGGGGTGGGCGGGCGTTTTCTCCTGGTGATTGGTGTGGATGGGGACGATGCATGTACGATGGGTTTGCATGGGTTTGCACATGTTCTTCACAAGACATGCTTTTGGGTTTGGGATCGAGAGTTGAGAATCACTGAGAGCCATGGCAAGCGTCAGATGCATGCCGCATACTCAACCTACAACCACATAATGCTTCGTGCTTTCCGGTACAGAATCTCGTAGACATCCCTCAGTTTGTTCCATCCATCAGTGGCTGTGTCCTTGACCATTCTCAACCCAAACTCATCAAATGAGCACCTGCTGGTTGGAGGGTTCCCCTCCAATTGAGTGGCTAGGTCGAAGAGATCGGGATCGACTTGGGGAAGGAGGCTTCTTGAGCACTCTTTCCGTTCATGTTGGCTTGAGCATTTTTTATCCCACCTTGCTTTTCTTTAAAGCTGATGATCCAAGCGATCAAGCAAGAAGGTGTGAACTTTGGCACCCTGCACACCTTGCAGGTCCTTCTCCATATTTCCATTCCAAGACCCACCCACCCACCCACCCACCCACCCCACCCGCTTGAGAAAGAGCTTGTAAGAGCACAATTCAGGGTGGTCCCAAGAGTGCATCAACACTTTACGATCTAGATCGATCTAGTTGCTGCGTTAGCCGATTAGTGCAAGGGAACTCGAACCTGTCAATGGCCATGTGCAAACCGTAAGGTGAAGGAGTCCGCAACAATATACTGCAATTTAAGTAAACAGTTTAAATCACAGATTTCTTGACTGGAGGTACGTCACGGTGATCAGCCGTGATTGGACCATCGCTCAGAGCACATGGATGGTCCCCCTGCTATCGAATTCTGAGCAGTGTTCCTGGAAGGGTTTGGCACACACTCGGGAGATCATGCGTACGAACTGATTGCGGCTTGCCACACGCCAACCTAAGTAAAATTATCCCAGCAAGAGACCCCAAACAGTGTGTGTGTGAGGTCTGTAAGCAGAAAGTCTAGAGATCTAGACGCATTGGGGTCCAGAGAGGTGATGGTGGTGATGAAGGTGGGGATCATGGTGACAGTGGTGAGTGAGTGAGTGAGTGAGTGAGTGAGTGAGTGAGTGAGTGA